CGTTAGATTACCACGCGTTAGATTCCTACGCTTAGAATTACCACGCGTTGCATTACTACGCGTTGGACTACTACGCGTTGAATATCCACGCGTTGGATATCCACACGCTGGATTACTACGCGTTAGTTAACTACGCGTTAGATTACCACGCGTTAGATTCCTACGCTTAGAATTACCACGCGTTGCATTACTACGCGTTGGTTATCCACGCGTTGGATCACTACGCGTTGGATATCCACACGCTGGATTACTACGCGTTAGTTAACTACGCGTTAGATTACCACGCGTTAGATTCCTACGCTTAGAATTACCACGCGTTGCATTACTACGCGTTGGACTACTACGCGTTGGATCACTACGCGTTGGATATCCACACGCTGGATTACTACGCGTTAGTTAACTACGCGTTAGATTACCACGCGTTAGATTCCTACGCTTAGAATTACCACGCGTTGCATTACTATGCGTTGAACTACTACGCGTTGAATCCCTACGCGTTAGATGTCCACACGCTGGATTACTATGTGTTGGTTAACTACGCGTTAGATTACCACACATTACTAGTATCGTGTATAGTGACGAGCATGACCCTAAAAAATTTAATAGAGTAAAATATATAAAATTCTAGAATTGTAGTAATATAGTATACACCGAAGAAATAAATTACATAAAATATAAGAAAGCCATGCTCGCTGCTTTCCACACTTCTCGTGTTACTCTACCTGTAATACTTGTACTACCATTACGTAATTGTACTATTACAGCATATTTGTGTTTATTATACAGTATATCGATTAAATCCTAACCAGGACTTAATTCGGTCTAAATCCGCTGCCCTAACTCGATGTCCTTCTACAAAGTAGATTAGCGGGTACACCCTCAAACAGCGAGGACTTAGAATTTAATTCTGCTCCTTTTTAATCTCTGCCTACCTTTCATCTTTGATTTGTTTATTCTTTTCATTGATCGGAGAATGGTCTGTGGGCGGTTGTGGTTGCAGATAGCAATGTCCGGCTGGCTGACTGGCGACTATTCTATAAGGTGTCAACCCGTAGACTACAGCGATCGACCCCAAGCAATGAGGGTGGGTGATCATTCCCCAAATTAACACGCAAATCTTCACATAAACACCTTTCGAGATTTCTTACACTTATCAAAAATTAAAGATAATCTGTTAGGAAGGACCTGGGTAGCAGGTCAGAAACTTTGGACTTTTACTGATGTTTTAGTATTACTCTGTTTGACGCGTTTTCTTGGAACATTTATTCGGCACACTTCAACACAAAAACTGCTCAATGTGCATTGGTACAAAATGGTTTAATTAATAGTTCGCTATGATTCTTTTTTTTTAAACAATCATCACGTGAATGTAATATCACCTTCTAATGTCACGTGAATGTAATATCACTTTCCAAAGTTGTGTTCAATTTTTATATTTTTACTTGTACTATTTTTTGCCTGATAACTAGCAAGTTTTGAACATATCCAATTACTGTGAGGACTCAGTATGTATATCATATTTTGTCACATAATATTTTGAAGAGAAAGAGCAAACATTTGAGATCATTTTGAAGATCCTTCAGAACTATGTTTTAAGAATTATGATATTCTTTTAAATTTTGCAAGTTAAAAAATTGATTATTCATCAGTGTCCACAAGTGTATGTCGTACACCATTGCTCTAATATGAACATTTAAAATTCAACAACATATAGACTTACAGTAAAATGACATTAGCGAACATGTTAATTAAACCGTATTAAATTAAATACAAGTTTGAAACGTCACACTAAAACTGATAGAACTCTTGTTAAACCATTTCAAAATTATAAAGCATATATCTTTTTGCATTTCTCATGCATCCTCTAATACTCTATACAAATACCTGTAGTCGCAACTGTATTATTTCTTCTACATGCCACTAAAAATCTTCAGTAGCATTTGAATACATTGTAGTTATTGTAAATAAGCTAACACACTTCGAAATAGCTGCTTAATGCAATTAACACCATTTAACAGACTACGAATCGTGAACAACAGAAACCTGACACAGACATCATTTATATACATTACACGATCCCAGTTACACTGTTTACAATTCTTTTTATTTGATAACCCTATAGGTACACTGACAGTTTATTGACGTATGTTACTCGAGAGCAAATCCTCGAAATTTTTTTTAACCTTGTCATTTGTTACAGATAATAAAACAGTGGCAAAATAATGGCGGTCTATGGCCTCATAGAGTTGATATAATTAATGAAGATATTACAGATTTTTAAATTATGTAATTTCCAGATCTCCAAAGATAATAATTACCGAAAGCTTTTCAAATTCTTAATCATGTAATGAAGTTTATACAGGGTTAAACTAGTGTCCCAGAAATGAGGAGGAGCTGATTCTGAATAAAATTTCCCTTTGCAAAAATGGAGTTTGAAGCACCGTTTTTGAATTATTAAGAAAAACACGGACCAATCAGAGCGCGGGGATTGCTATGCGCTGGATTATTGCGCGTTGGATTACTACGCGTTGGTTAAGTACGCGTTAGATTACTACGCGTTAGATTCCTACGCGTTAGATTACCACGCGTTAGATTTCTACGCTTAGAATTACCACGCGTTGCATTACTACGCGTTGGACTACTACGCGTTGAATATCCACGCGCTGGAT